ACAAAAGAATTCAAACTCAAGCAGAGCAAATGGGAAAAATAAAGCAGACTGTGTCAATTACAGTACAGAACGTACATACACTCGAGTCGGCCTATTTTTATCGTGTTTATATTGTTTCACATTAATGTTGAGAAAAACAATAATATCCACATGCTCGTGTGAAAGTTGGCTCCTCAGTCTGATAACAATAAGAACGCGCGCCGACACAGACTTTCCAGAGACACGAAGCTAACGGTGTGCTAAGCAAAGTTTTCACTGATTCATTTGATCAAAAGTAATTCCATTTTGTAAGATCATTTAGTAAGATACTTTTGATCAAAGTATTTCCAAACTTCCCGAGACAGACAATGACATTCTGTGATCAAATAATTCAACTTGTTAACGCAATCCACAGCGCCACCCAGTGCATTTAGTTATAACTGACTTTTAGTGTGCGTTTAGGATTTATCATATGGCGCTTTTTCACTGCATGGATCCGCTTCTCGGCTATCAAAGAGAGGAACATCTGTACTTCCTCAACAGACCACGCAACAGACATTATTTTGTTGTTTAAAAAAGGTGCGCTCGTTCGAATCTGTTGCCTTTCATTTAAAAAAGTTGCGTTCGATCCTCGCTGGCTGTGCTGATTTAATCTAGTGTGTCTAGTGTCTCGTGTCGCAAGTTCAATGACGCAGGTAGTGACGATTCTCATATTTTGGGTTTTAAAAAAAAAAAAAAAAAAAAAAGAATATTAGATTATTTGTTTATTTCAATTATTTTTAAGGAGAAAGACGTTATTTTTTTAATAAACAAGTTTAAGCTCATGATTAGACATTATACACAACAATGTTACGTTATATCTCAAGGTTTTATTTTATGTTGTTTAAAAAAGGTGCGCTCGTTCGAATCTGTTGCCTTTCATTTAAAAAAGTTGCGTTCGATCCTCGCTGGCTGTGCTGATTTAATCTAGTGTGTCTAGTGTCTCGTGTCGCAAGTTCAATGACGCAGGTAGTGACGATTCTCTCCGGCAAATCAGTGATCAGCAGGGTTTACACGTCACATTTTGGTAACGGTACGTGCCGTTCGGTGCTGTACCATGCAGTGGAAAAGCGCCAATAGGTTCCCTGCATTTATGACCAGCAAAGCAACACGTAGTAAATTTTGAATAGTGTTTTTATTTTTCGAATAAAAATTACAGATCGAATATTCGACTATTTGTGCACAACCCTACTACGGTCTGCACTAAAGGATGGCCACTAACATAATTTACATTTGACGCTCGTACAAAGGAAAGGATGGGAAAGAACGTGACGTGGTCAAGTATTTTATTTTTTTCCAAATTTTTAATTTACATTTTTTCTGGATTCCATTTTTTTCCCATTTTTATTTTTCTGGACTCCTTTTTAATGGTTAAATTTAATTTTAGTAATCAAAAAGCATGTCTAATTAATTAAAATCATGAAAAATGAAAATTGGCTTGTGTTTTACTCACCATTCCTTAAAGAATAAGTTTCAATAATTTATTATTAGTAGTAGTAGTAGTAGTAGTAGTAGTATTATGTTCATTCTACTGCACAATAATATATTTCTGAGACAATTTATTCCAGTTAAACCGAACTTTTATCTTGACAAGTTGATTTGAATACCTTTACGCTTCTGTGTGTATATGATATGACAATAGTTTTACTCAAATGAAATGTTAAAATCCTCAGGAAGTGACTCTCAGAGCAGTTCTGAAGATGTTCATGTATTTGTGTCCTAATTTAGTGAGACGGCAGATGCAGAAATCACAACTAGTGGTCAACCGATATATCGCCAAGGCCCATATATCGGCCGATATTTGGCATTTTTTAAATATTGGCATCGGCCGATAAGTTTTCCTGTTTGGCCGATGCGTTTGAGGCGGGACTTTTATTTTGACGGCGCTGACAGCGGCAACGCCTGAGCACAGTGCTCACCTTCTCCCTCTTGTTTGCTGTCGTCGTTAACAGTTCTGTCTAATACGGATAGAAGTCTGTCTAATAATCAGATCGAACGGTTAAACAAAGGAATTAAAATGTATACAAAAAGTATTATAACGATTGCTTTTATATTATTAGTAATAGAAAGGCAAACATTATAATACTTTCTCATTTTCCATCAGCATTCAGCAAATGCGCATTTACATAATTTAAACAAATCTTTGAATGACTAATGAACATTTAATTTCACAAAGCTT